AGACACAGCATGATCGTCGAGTGCGCCTTTTCCTCCAGAATCGCCATCTCAGGAGTAACGACGGCGTTCTTGTCTTTCGACAACGGCGCCCAGAAGCCTTGCTGTTTCAACAAAGCCCGCATCTTGATCTGCCATAAACTGAAACCGTTCCTCCCTGTGAATTTGTCGATTTTCACGTTCAAAGCAGACATCTCAAATTCTCCAAGAACATCGATTAACCGAGAGGCTCTGATACCAATTTGTTGTGCGGAATTTGAGATAATACGAGAAAATATAAATGCGAAAAACAAGACAACAGTTTACGTGGTTCACCAATAAATTGGCTACGTCCACGGGAAGAGAGGGAGCAGTTTTATTATGGAGAGGCAAAAACAGAATTACAGAATAGGATTTCCCATAGCGTCTATATATAGTGCTAAGCTACGCCCTAACAGGCTTGGGCCCATCCTTTCTGTTTGTAGCGGGTCCGATTCAAGGCATTCAACAGCTGTAGCATCGCCATTGACAGTATAAAATGTAGTCAAGGCATGTTGAATCCTTTAGTTTGTACTCTGATGATATTTTGGAACAGATTAAGTTTGAATAAATAAATGCAACAACAAATACATTAGCACAAAACTGTTGGAAAGTTGAAACAGAGAAGGTGTATATTTAATTAGGGAACAACAATAGACAGTTAAAATTTGTGAGCATATGTCTATATCAGAAATACGAGAATTAAAATTACCCAGAAAATCTACTACTTGTCGAGATGGTGTATCTACCCAATGAAACCATTATGATAATTCTTTCAATTTTATCTGTGAAATCTCTATTACGATTCAAGTGTGTTTCACTATCATGACATTCTTGAATTTCAAGTCCAAATTTTATTCATCCCTCAAATCAACGTCGAGAAGGAGGAGCAATTGTCAATGCAACGTAGAACTTTAACCCTTGCTTTCGATAAATAAACCAAACAACTCATTGTGGAAGAACTCAACTATCCTCCAAGTCATGATAATGAGCTTTTTTCCCCCAACTTGTATGATTTTAGGTTCTTGTCATTGTTAGGATCGAATTCACACATACACTTGATGAATGAAGAACACAAGAACTTTTGAGAGAGAGATGAGAGATATAGAGAGAGAGAAATTTCGTGGTAACACCCCGTGGGTAAACTTCCACGGCGGTGGGGTATATATTAATAACTAGTCTTGGAAACATGCGTTGCACGTTTGATCCCTACTATTACATAAAATTTATATAAGCCTAACTTTATAAATATAAAAATAATCGCATTTACTAATTAAGTTGTTAACATTCCACATCGATCGTCAAAAGATTGAATTCAGTCTCCTTGAAGATTTCAACATGCCTTCTCTCATTGCAAGCTCGATTAGTAGTAGTAGGAATTTGTACACAATATATTTTGTTTCTGTTGCAACAAAAGAATATATGAGTAACAAAGTGCTTCGTGTTATAAAATGAAGCTAAAATTAATACTACTGAAAGATAAAACCAACAGAAATATAGTGACAGTTAGAGATGTTTTTTTTTTTGTTTCTTCGAAGTGGGCAAAAGTCTCTTCATAATGTATAAAATGACACCATTTCTAGGATATGATTAAGTAAAATCAAAGAGTGTTTTAAATATGACATTAATTTCTTGAGAATGTGGAAAAGATTATATGAGTGTGGAAGATTAATGAGGAGATAGTCAAGGTGTATAGTATTAAACACATATTGAATAAAAATTAAACCTAGAAATTATTGACTTGCACTTTTAAACAATCTATTTACAATAATTCTGTAGTATTTTATTTGTAATATATTGTATCTGATGGAGAAATGAAAACTTCTTTTAAGAGCTTTTACTAATATTATAATTAATTGTTTTTACAACACTTCATTTTTGTATTTTATTGTATCAAAATAAGTGAATTATAAATATCAGATTTCTGTAAATGAAGAAAATATAATGGGATGATAAAATGTTAAAGTATATATTTAATGAAAGCTTTATTAAGAAGACAAATATGCAAATATTAATCTAAAAATTCAATTCTATATTGAGTTTTGAAGTGCATATCAATGACAAATAGTTTAAGTGATTTACCATTATCATATAGTGATTACATATTTATGATATTTATTCTTAAATATTTTTTCCTTTAAATATTTTATTGTAGTCATTGCTTAGTATTTAATAATACTACATTAATAATTAAACACTCTGAAAGTTTGAATTATTCGTATAATTAAAGTGAATGATGCATCAACCTGAAAAATGTACTAATCTACAAATAAAACTGTTGAGATATTTCTAGAAATTAAAATTAAAAAATGATCTATAATTTTAATTCATCTGAAAATTTGTAGTGATAATTTAAATTTTATATATAACCATATATTATATAACATTTGATTTGATATAGAGATAAAATAGTAATCCAATGGAGAATTAAAGTAAGCATTATGAGGAGCATTAAAATAGAAATTCAACTAATTATTAAATTAAAAATTTAAGGAGTAAAACATTAAATAACATGGAGAGAAAAAAAATTACAACTAACTTATTGTTTAATTAATATTAACAGGAAGAAAAAGGAATTACAACTAATACTTACTATTTAATTAGTATAATATTTAACTATAGTATATGGACAGACGACAAAATAATAATCCAACTTTGAAGTTTTGATGTTTCCATTTTTTATTATAGGAATTATTTTGGATTAAAGGGCAAAATGACTATTCATTCAACTTCTCAACTTTGGATATATATATATATATACATACATATATATATATATATATATTAGAGTGCTGTAAAAAAATAAAAATATATTTGTTATTACAAAAATTATCGAATCACACCTTGTTTTGATGTGTTCGAATGATATTTAGTCATTCTTTATATATCCATCTTTTCACATATTAATTAATGAAAATATATGAATTCAATGCATTCTCTATTTCATATACAATATTTTAGCACTTCTTGTCCTTTTTTCTTTTGCATTCTTACTTCAAGGTCTATACATCAATATATTAATCAACACAATCTAGCTAGAATAATTTATACGATAAAAGTTGTGAAAATATAGAGAAACTGATAACTAACTTACCATCTCCCTCATCATTCATGCAAGCCGCAAGCCGTGAAGACCTTCTAAATCCAATCACATAGATAGAAATTAACCGTAAATCTGTGGAAGGAAGAAAACCAAATACATTGTTAGAGTGTGTCGATAAGAAAAAGAAGAAGAAACACATAAAGTCAAACAAAAATCAACAATGAATAGTGATATTGACAATTAAAAACTACAACAAACATATTATCAGAGTAACGATTAATTGCAACAAATATATTCTTACAAGCGAATAGTCTATACAAAAGAGATACAACTACAAATACGTCAAATAACTAAATAGATTGCCTAAAAAGGGAAGGGGTGAAAGAGTTGGAGGAACTTATAAAGAGAAAAAACTCTTGAAAATTTGATTATTTTCTCTCTTAACTTTTGAACTTTTTATAATATGATGCAACTTTAGAGAAGCTATTAGAAGACAAATACAATTGAAGTTAATATGAAAATATATAATATTTGTAACTGATAAGAAATCAAATATATTATTAATTAAGATTTAATGAAATTTATTAAATAAGATTGAGTATGATTAGTTTTTTAAATAATTAATAAAAAAAAATCTGAAAAAAGAAGATGGGAAAATGATTAAGGTATTGGAATTTGAAAAGTATAACTTTTGAAGTTATAAAGACTTCACATAAATGACATATTAAGTTGTTTAAAAAATTGAAACAATATTATTAATTCCAAGAAATTTAATTAATATATTTTTATTAATGTTATATGACTAATTTCATCCTTAAAGGGTATAAAATTTTAATTTTTGATAGATATTTTGGTAAATCTAACTTTGCACCAAAAAAAGCTTTCTCCTTTTTAATATAATATGATATATATTATAAGATAAATTTAATCAATTTACCAAGTATATAATTCATTGTTAGTTTGTGCTAATTATAACAGAAAGAAAATTGAAAGTCCAACGATTGCAAGCTTCCATTGTAAGTATTTTTGAAGCAACTACTTAGCATTTAATATAATGTTATGAATATAATTCATCTGAAAAATTGTATACCTTTACCCTGTAGGAGTAAAGGAGGTACACTTAAACGATAATTTTAACGGTTACAAAACTTTTGATTTCCTTTTGTCATTTAATTACAAATGTTCATTGTATCTAAAGATAAATTCATGTCATAGATGATAAGTTCTTCATTTTTAGAATATTAATTTTTTATTATAATCAATGTGTAGTATTTAATAGAAAATATAATAGCTTTTATTTATAAATAATATACATTTACATTTTTGTCCAAAAATATTATGATGTTATAAGGACATTTTTGTAATTCAACTTTTGAAGTAGAGGCTTCCCACTTATAATATAATATGATTCCGAGTATATTTAGTTATAGAGAATAAATGGAGAATAAACAGTACATCAAATATACCATGTCAAGTCCGAATAAGTACACTAGTTAGATATATATATATCAGCAAAGATGTCGAGATAGTTGGTGACAGAGCTTCATTTTATTTTTCGGTCCTGATTCTTTATATACTAATTTCTGGGTACGCGTTTAGCGTGTGTATCCCCCATATTATTTGTATATATTTTTAAAAATACTTGAATTAAATCAAAATGAATACTATCTAATTTTTACAAATTGCCATATATATAACTTGTGAAAAAACTTGAAATTCCGACTAATTAAGCCATGATACACAAATCAATTTTATCTCGAAACTTAATTTATGGCTTGTTACTTGTGCAAACAATAAAAACTTAGAAATTCTTTAATAAACTGTCAAAATCATCTCCAACATGTTGATAAATCACAACCTAAGTAATAATTTGATATGAATATCATATTTACGTTATTAAACTGTGAGAATATAGAGTTAGCTATAAAACTCATTCTGAATCTTTAATATGAAAAATTTCAAATATTTATTGTTACATAACCAAGAAAAATCAAGTATCATACAAATAGAGGTTACAAATAGTTGATTTGTTTCCAAAAGAAAAATGAGAAAATTACATCTAATCAGTAATCAGCAGATGAGGAATGTGAGCAATTTTGTACCAGTCTTGTTAGTTGCTGCAATCCCTCTGGTAAACGTTTTAGCATCTCACAGTATGTAATGGATAACTGTGTGAGTGAAGTTAAACCTTTCACCCCTTCCTCGGGGAGACTCTCCAGTTTGGGACAACAACTAATCTCCAGATGCTTCAAAGCATTGAGACTAGCCAGGCTGTTTGGCAGCTCTTTGAGATTGTCGAAGAAAGAGATTTCCAAGTATTTGAGAATTTGCAAGGCTTTTGAACATCTCTTCTGGGAGCGAAGTAGCTATGGAGTTAAGGCTAATGGTGAGGGAAGTAAGAGCCCTAAGATTATATATGGACCTCAAAACTGTTGCATCTGACTTGTCCCCATAAACTACCAATTTCTTGACAGAAGAAAGGGTCGGAATAACAAACACAGGACAACACCTAATTGTCAACTCTTCAAGCACGGGGAATTGCAGCAATCCTTTCAGATTATCAAAATCGTCTATAGTAAGTTTTCTCAGAGATGGAAACCTTCTTCTGGTTGGGAATCCAGAATCTTCAACATACTCCACCTCCGCAGACCCACTCCATAACTCTAGACTTTCTAGACAAGGCAGATCACCAAACGGTGGTAAGCATGAGCAGTTTTCACAACCTCTAATTGCAATAGAGACAACATTTTTCAAAACTGAGTGATTCATCCACTCTGGGAGACGGATTCCTCTGAAGCCAGTGATTGTTAAACAAGTCATATTGGAGTGTGGTTTGAGGGCTTCAAGCACTTCAACTTCTTCTGATTCATATCTATGTGGTCCTTTCCATTCCATGCTTAAAGAATGCAGATTTTCTTCTGCAGATAAATTGGCTTCTTTTGCATCCCTATCATTCTTCACTCTCTCAAGATGCGTGATTTCAATTGACCCATACAGATTCAGGTTTCGTAATTCACCAAGTGGACAACTTTTCCTCCTCCCCACTGCAAATCTACTTAGAGTCTTAAGGCATGTCAAAGATCCTATCCTTGGTGGCATAGAATCCAATTCAAAGCAAACATCAAGTAAAAGATTTCTGAGACTGCTAAGTTGACTTGTTTGATTTGGCAAACAACAAAGTGACCAGCAATTCTGTAGATTAAGAGTCTGCAGATTTTGAAGCTTGCATAACTGCTCTGGAAGACTACGCATGTTATTGAGAGAGAGGTTCAAGTATCTTAAATGTACTAGATCTCCAATGGAAGACGGTAAACGCTTAAGACTTAAATTACTTAGATTAAGCACCCTCAACGACACAAACTTTTGCAAGTGAGAAGGAGAGTAAGAAGACACCAATTTTGCGAAACCAATCAACATCATATGTGGGTTCCGTTTTACATTTATTTCACGGATATTGTTGCTTGATGCTCTTGCCGAAAATAGAGATGTTGCCAAATCATGGATGAGATCATGCATCTTGAAATAAGTTTTACCATCTTTAAATTCAATCTCTTGGAAAAAAGACCTCAAGTATAATTCATTCCTTACTTGATTACCTACATCCTCTAGCTCCAAGTTTTCTTTCGATAAAAGAAAACCGTGTGCCATCCAGAGAGAGATTAGATTTCCTTTTTCCATTACCGTGTCCTTTGGGAATACTGCACAATATGCAAAACTTTGTGTCAAATCAACTGGAAGATGATGATAACTAAGTCTCAGGGCAGGCAGAATAGAACTTTCATCTTGAGGCAGATTCCAAATCTCATTATCTCTCACATGTTCCCATTCTCTTTCTTGATCCACGAAGCGCAAAAGACCTCCAAGAGTCTTGGCGGCTAGAGGCACACCACCACTTTTTTTGACAATCTCCTTTCCGATAGCCACAAGGTTAGGATTTATTTTTTCTTGGTTCTCAAATGCACGTTTCATGAACAACAACCAACAATCTTCTTGAGACAGATTTGACAATTCATATGGTTGCAAAGTTCCCATAATTGATCCAACCTTTTTAAGACGAGTGGTGGTTAGAACAGAAGCACCTCGTGCTCCAACCTCTAAGACTGCTTTTATCTTATCCCACTTTTCTTGATTTTCATTCCAAACATCATCCAAAACGAGAAAGTATCTCTTTCCATTCAACCTGTCCTGAAGCTTCTTTTGAAGTGGAGCCAAATCCATGTGGTCACCAAGTGGGTTTCCTTCGATAGATTCAACAATTGCTTTTATCAACTTCTTCTCATCAAAATCTTCTGAGACACAAATCCATATTTTGGGATGGAAATGGTCAGTTACTCTCTGATCATTGAAGACCATCTGGGCAAGCGTCGATTTTCCTAGCCCCCCCATACCAAGTATTGGGAGGACCGAAAGTTGTTGGGCATTGTTTATCAGGATTTTCACTATCTCATCTTCCTCTTTGTCTCTTCCATAAGGTTCTGGTTCAGTTAAAACAAAACCTGTTTCAAGCAATATATGTTCACACGAGAATATGTTTAGCGAAAAACAGAGAGAAGATTTTTGCACTACAAAGAGCTGAGAATCAGGGGGAGGAGTTGAAAACATGATTGACTTTGAAAAATTGACATCCAAGTTAAGTTCAGTCCGAAACAACTGACTATGGATTTATCTGAGCTGGCTTACACCATGTATATATGTTTAAGAACTTCACTAAATAAATAAGTGGTAGAATTACAAATCTGTTTAGAATTGAGACAAACATTAGATTAGAAAAAAGTCCCTTGGGTCCATAAACACACATGAACTTGATAATAGCAAAAAAATGAATATAAACTAATTAAATTGTTGTAATTAATACTAATATATTTAAGATGAGCACCTGTTTCTCGTCTAGCAGCTTCTCTCTCTGTAGTCCTTTTTTCCAAATGAAACTTGCTTCGTTCTGCAGCAATTGCATCTAGTCTCTCCATTATCTCTTTCATCCTTTTCCCAATCTTGTAACGGAAAGCGATAGCCTTTGGATGATAACTCCCATATTTAGTCTGATTGAGTCTTGCTGCCTCAGTTTGACATTCATCCAAGATGTCATCAACTTCATATGCAGCAATATTGAGTTTCTGCAACCAATTTTCTAGTGGCTTGTCCTTCAGTTGCTTCTCCTGAGCATCTTCAAGCACAGCTTGGATCGTAGTAAACGTGCTTTTAAGATTTTCAAACTCGTTCTTAAAACCAAAAAACAATCCAAGTTCCTCTTGTATGAAAGAAGTCAAATTTTTCAACAAAATTTGAAGGAAAGCTTCAGCCATGTATGTGGAGGGAGGGTAGATTGGTGGAATTGTTGTGAATTATCAATAAATCTATAAGATCGATGTTGGAATGAAATATGAACAGCTAAAAGTAAGAGCACAAAGCTTTATAATTATTCCTTTACTTATTGAATGGGTAAATAAATAAATTAATGTTGTGTTGCATAAATATGTCTGTACGCAATTATTTTATTTTGAGTTTCACATGGGAAAAATTTTATTTTGTGAAAAGCTAACCTTTTGTCTGTTGTATGAGAATTTTAAATGTACAACATGGGACCCACACTTAAAACTTTTTCACATTAATTTAAACTTGAGAAAAGAGTCTGCAATACCCATCAATTTTGTTATTTAGAGCTGATATATCTTTGAAAGTGGCTTATATATATCCCTACTTGTAAACAAATGGCTCAGATATACCTTTTTCTTCTAACGGAAATGAAAAAATATAATTTTAATCTAAATTTTTATTATTTTTTTCTAAAAAATATAATCCCATATGAATAAATTTAATTCTCGTCAAACATATTTTTTTTGACTTTTTTTTGTTTCAATGACTAATTTATAATTATTATTTTGATAGTCAAATTTATTTATTTTTCACTAATATTCTTGTAAAACTTATTGTAGATGACTAAATTTTTTCTTCGAATACGAAATTAAATTACAATACACACAAAAAAATAGTTTAATTTTTCACTCTCTTTAAACTAAGGAATGAAAGAAAAAAAACAAAATAAGAATAAGAAACTCAAATAATTATAATAAAAGAAGTCAAAAAATAGTTTATGTATGAAAAAAATTAAAATATACCTTGAACTTTGATAGAAGAATCATATATACCTCTAAATAATTTTTTTAAAAAAAATTAGAAGTATAAATATAAATTTAAAACTAATTTTTTAATTTCCGTCAAATTAAGGGTATATGTGAGTCATTTTATAACGACAGGGGTATATATGAGCCGTTTGTATAACGGTAAGGGCATATATGAGCCACTTTTATAACGAGGGATATATTAGCTCCAAATGACAAAGTTAAGGGGTATATCAGACTCTTTTCCCGTAAACTTTTGTTTCTCATTCTCTTGTTCTCCTTTGTAGTCTTTTGTGTTTTTTTAAAAAAAATTAGCCACAATGTTTAACTATTTTATTTTTATATTATTTATTTAAGGAAAACTTAAAGTAAATGAAACGAGAAAAAATAGTTTTTTAGTGAGATTAAAGAAATTTAATATAGTGTAATTAAATAATTTTTGTGTTTGCTTATAAAAAGATCATACATTAATTTTTTAGGAGAATTTTTTATTTTATTATTTTATTAATAAATGATCTGTAATAATTTTGATTATACGTATAACCTTCTCTGAAGCTAAAAAAATTATTATAAATATTTTTTTTGTTCTCTTTGTGAGTACTCGTGTTTCTCTTTATAATAATTATTCTTTTTACTTTGTAATTTAATTTATATTTTTATTTAGATAAAATTGAAAGTGTTTTTTCATGTTCAAAATAACTCATAATTTAATTGATTATTTTATTTAAATAAAATATTAACAAGACATCTTTAATATATCAGCCTTAAATCTTTAATTTTTGTAAGAATATAGTAAAATCATTGGGAATTTTTATCAAATTTCTTAGTAACGATTAAATTCTTCGTAATGCATAATTTTTTCAGAGGATAATTTTATATTATTATATATTTTCGAGAAGTCCACAAAAAACAAATCGCAAGGAAAAAAAATAAAGTAATGAAAAATCAACTTAATTGATTTGTCTTGATTTTAACATTTGAAAAATAAAATTATTAAATCAATTTTCATTCAATAAAATATATTAAGTATCAAAGTTTTTTGATAGAAAATAAAATAAAATTTTATGAAGCACGGAGAAAAAAAGAGAGAAGAAGAAGATAGAAATAGGTGAAAGAGAAAAAAATGAAGCTTTAAGCATGTCATACAAGTATTGTCTGCCGAGTAACATTTCTACCTCTCACAAAATAAAATTTTAGCCGCTATATATACTTGTGTGAAGCCTTTTATAAGCTGACATGAAGGAGCTTACGAACCCCATATGTACAATCTTTTTCAATATCTTCCTCGAACTTGTATAAGGAGTTAATATCTTAGATGTTCACTCAACTTCGAATAATTCACTTAGAAAGTCACTCAGATTTGAGTTAACTTCGAAAGTCACTCAATTTTGTTTTATAACCTAAAAATTACTCAACTAATTTTACTTAGAAAGTCAGTCAATTATTTTAAAATGAAATTTTTTATTAAATTTGGCTGAATACAAAAATAAAATAAAATTATAAGCTGCTTTTAATTATTTTATTAAATTTTGTTGAAGTATAATATTTCTTTATACCTATCTTTTAAATAAAAAGTAATAAGAAAAAAGGCACTGTGCTGCCGTTTTTATATTATTTCTTTTCAATTCCAACTTCTTTCTTCTTTTTTGGAATAACTAACTTTTTAACATGTTTTCCCTTTTTCTAAAATAAATATCTTATTATTTTTTTTAAAAAAATAGTTTAACATAAAAATAAGATTTTATGAAAAAAAATATTTAAGTTGATCGGATGTCTTTTTAAGTGAAACAAAAATAATTGAGTTACTTTTGAATTATAAAGAGAGTTGAATGACCTTTTAAACGAATAACTCAAATATTAGTGACTTTTGACTTTAAGATAGAATTGAATGACTTTCTAACAAAATAATTCAAAGTTGAATGACTATCAAAATGAATTATTTAAAATTAAGTGATTATCTGAGATGTTAACTGGTAAAATAAGACCCAAACCCAAAATTTGATTGTCTCTAGGTGTAAGGTCAAACTTTAATTATGGAAGGTGTGTTGTAATAATTATTCCACCATGGGGCGGCCATGTCTCTCAATTGGAGTATTTGGTTTTATTTTTCAATCCAATAACTAACAGTTGCTTTTGATTTTAAACATTCTTTCGGCGTATATGGGCATCTCTTTTATGGTGGGGCAATTACTAGATTTTTTTTAAAAAATATTTTTTAAATCATAATACATAAATATATTTTTTAAATTTGATATTATTTTATATTTATAGTGTTCAACTATAATATGAACAAGTAGACACTTAAACTTGTATAGAGTCGAACAAATAAACGTGTACATGCTTCATGGAAATTGTGTCATAGGTGGTGTTTCATATATATATCATATATTATTATAAGTGGGAAGATTTTAAGTTCAAAGTTGAATTACGAAAATATCCTTCACCAATTTTTTAAATTAAAAAATCTTTTATTAATTTTTAAAATCTATCTATATATATTATACTTTATATTATATAAAGGAGAAGCATGATGTGGCATGTCTCTAAAGCCAAGAATAACATTTATTTATTTTTCTCAAATTTTTTATATTTATTTTTAAAGTATATATATATATATATATATATATATCTTAATTTGAATCAATGTGTAACATAATCAAGTCTGTGAATAGAAAAAAAAACGGTTCTATTAATTCGAAGATTCTACTCTATGTAATAGGAAGAGACATCCGTTTACTTTCAAAATTTTTGTAACTCCTAAATACTAATTAACAAATAGGCTTCTGTATCTCCTAAATACTAATTAACAAATAGGCTTCTGTATCTCCTAGCTCAACTACTGCTTACCCCCATTAATTAGCATTTGAATTAATTGGTAATTAACAATTAAAAATTAGAAATATAAGAAAGAGGGGATGTCACTCCCAGATTATTTCTGGAAAATGAATAACAAGAAAGACCATCAAGCTTTGAGGTATGTTTCCTGACTAGCAAATCTATCTCTTTGTTTTTTCTTTTTTAACTTATTTTTATTATAAACCTTAAATTTTATGTAGAAGCGAATAATATTTCTATGATATATATTTAGATTGTTTTGAACGATAGTATGATTTGTAGACGATTTTCTTACATCTCACCTTTATAGAATATCAAATTTGATTATACGCGATTTTATTGTAATCATGAATGGATAGCTAATTGCACTTTCAAGCGAGCACCTTATACTTGATCTATCATAACTAAGAAGGTATTATATTTCATGATAACTTTTTGTACTTATAAAAGCTTTCTAAATAGTTTAAAATATTTCATTGACTAGCTCAAGATGTCGATACGCCGCCAGATTGACCATTTTGTTATAAGCATGGTAGTCCTCTTTCTATTATTTTTGTCAAATATTACGAATGTTGAGGTTTTATTCAAGAAAAGTAATGATAAGTTTTGTTTCATTGTTATGTTGTTTATTATCTTAGGATAGTGTACAATATGCATACTTTATGCACATTGAATATTACTTATTTTTCTTTTGAAGTTACTAATCTTAATATTGTCATTCACACAGAGTTGGTGGCCACGAGGATTTTGCAAAAAAAGTGTTGTCCTCAACACTTTTACTACAATGATTTAAGATTCCATTACAATATAATATTATTGTATACTTTCCTTAAAGTTCTTTTAAAACAAATTAATTTGATTGTAATATTCTTCAAGTAATAGTTCTCATGTAATATTTTTTTATTGGTCACTATTTTTCCTGTTGTTTTATGTCATTTGTTCCTTTTTTTAATTTTAATAATTGTTGGAGAGTTTATGTTCCAAGAAACTTCAGCCTTGGGGCATTGGGGGTTATAATTTTTGAGTGATAATTCTAATTAGTAAAAATATTGTTCTAGCCTTATAAGTTGTTCATTATACCCCCCTCCGAAATTTTTTTGTTGATATTTAAGTTTTAGGCAGAAAATAAACTCTTTTACTGATTAGGCAGAAGGTAAACACTAAAAAGAGTTTATTTTATATGCACAAAAATACAGACAGGAATACTTCAGACAATGTTGAATAATTTTTATCAACAAGAGTTGATCCTATATAAAATTTTAACAGTAACAGAGGTAAAACATGCAAGGCACGTTTCCAGGACTCGTATTACTATAAGTGGGAAATTCTAAAGTGAAAAGTTGAATTATCATTTTGGCCTTGTACTAAATTGAAATTTGATTAATTAGTTAATTTAAATATCACATTGTCTCATTTTAATAAAAATATTAATAACTTTTGTACTTCCTTAGATTAATTTCTAATTAAAATATCTAATTTAAATAATATTTATCATCTATTATCTATATGTATATTTAATTTAATCTCCATCATATCATATAATAAGCATAATAATAATAATAATAATAATGATAATAATAATAATAATAGTAATAATAATAATAATAATAATAATAATAATAATATACTAACAGTGAAAGCAATATTAGGCAAAAATTAGATTACATTTTGTCCCTATATCATATATAAATATTAATCGTCTAATAAATTGTTAACTGAATATTAAATAGTAAATTTTAATTACTATAAGGGAGGATTACACATTAAGCAATATCAAATTTATCAAATTCTTTCGGTTACAATTTATTTATGTTGATGGTTAATTAATATTAAATTGTTAGAAACAATTATTATCAAGAAGACAAAAAGACCCCCAACGATATTGTTCAATGAATTAAAGGTGAAGACTAAAGGTTACAAAATTAATTAGGAAACTGATATGTATCTTTTATTTTTTTCCTTTCATCTCCCCTCACCTAAAATTTTCCTATTTAAAGTCACCTAGAAATGAAAATTACTTTACAAATCTCATCTGATCTTCTTACTAAAGTATGTTAATATGTCAATTCTCTCTTATAAATTATGATCCATTTTCTCTTTTTTGGTATATCATTTCTTTCTTCTTTTTTAATTTCCTTTCTGATCATAGTCATAGACTGCTGAAGAAAAGTTGTCATCAATCTTTATAGAATTGTTAAGGACAATAACATTATTGTTGTATTCGGATCGAAGACATTATGATTAATTGATTGATTAATTGTAAAGAATGTTTAAAAGAAAATAATTTTTTTTATCACGTTATATGAATTATCACAAAATAATGAATGTTTGTACTATTTTATGTAAAATGATTATAGCTATTACCATTTGAAGTTATTTTCATATTAGTTTTAAATGTTCTTTTATAATGTTTCTCTTCTTATTCATTTTAAGTTAAATATGTTCTCTATTTATATAAAGAAGTTTATGTTTAAATAATTAAATAGATGTTACTTATTTAGACTTTATATAATTATTGGCGTAAAATATGTACAATACTATATTTCTTATTTCCAAATCAAATTTAAAATTGTCTCAATGATATATTAGATATTTTATTATATGTTTGAAATATTTGACAGATATGTTGACTGACTATGCATGCATTTATAATTATTTCATTATCTCATAAATTAGTATCTGTTTCATGTACTTCTTATCCCCCTCTTTTCTTACTTTTAAATACTCATTTGCAATTCAATATATGTATCGATTTGAAAGATTACTAACATTAGCTTATGAATTACATGTATATTTACTTTTTTATGTATATTTTATTTTTTAAGTTATGACATATAGCAAATCCAACAATATATGTACCATTTACAAATTAATTTTAGTACAAAATTTATATTAAGTAGTTTAAAATAAACGTGCAACGCACGTTTTGAAGACTAGTGTATATATATATATATATATATATATATATTATGCTACATATGACTTAACTATGTACTTGTTCAATTATATACAAGTTAAAATATCAAATTATGTGTATATTCAAATTTGAAGGATATAAATATAAAATAAAATAAAATTAAAAGACATATTTATCTATTATCTTGTTTATTGTTTATTGCCTGCTCCATTTTGCTTTTCAGGAACTAGTGGTTGTCATTTTAGTATTTGTATGCCTTTATTTCAATGATTTTTTTTTGCTCATATGTTAGTTTGTAGGTTTGATATTGTTAGTTGCCTGGAAGAGTTGAATTTTGTTTTTTTTAGCATCTTTTCTAAGTAAGAAGATTGAACTGTAGTAAGCTGATATCCAGAGCTTTAAACTTTCAAATTATATTTTGTTATGACTTGAATCTTGAATATAAATGTGTGTCTATGCAGCATGGCAGGGTTATAGTATTTTAAAACATGCATTGTGGCTTTATTTGCTTTCATTTATCTTGGCTGCCCTTTCTTCTATTTGATTTACATTGCCTTAGTTATGCGTATAAATGCAGAATTGTTTTTATCGTTGACTGTTTTTCTTTATGTTTCCTTTTGATCCGTTTCACGTGCATTCGCCATGACTCCTAACGGATTTCGCCCGTATCCCTGCACTTCCTCGCTGAGCCGTAAGGGCTCAAACCTCCTCCTCAAGTCTTAGACCCTCACAACTGGCGTACAGGTTGAACACAAAAAAACGAGCTGCTGGAAATTAATTTACAGGTCGGAAGAATCAGCAAGTGTGTTGCTGGAAAATCAAATCTACAGATTTGAGCAGCAGTATACATATTGTATACATTTGTTATACACTGATATACAGGTTGAAAGGCGTATACGAACAAATGCAGGGCTCAAAAGTCCAATACGAATTGGTTACAAATAGTTGATTTGTTTCCAAAAGAAAAATCAGAAAATTACATCTCATTAGTAATAAGCAGATGAGGAATGTGAGCAATTTTGTACCAGTCTTGTCCTATTCCCTTCTCACACCGCTTGGCCAGTGTTGGACATTCCCTAACTGATAAATTTGTTAGGTGCTGCAATCCCTCCGGTAAACATTTTAGCCTCTTACAATTTGTTATGGATAATTCTGTGAGTGAAGTTAAACCTTTCACCCCTTCCTCGGGGAGACTCTCGAGTGCGTCACAATATTCAATTTTCAGATGCTTCAAAGCATTGAGACTAGCCAGGCTGTTTGGCAGCTCTTTGAGATTGAAGATGAAAGAGATTTCCAAGTATTTGAGATTTGCAAGGCTTTTGAACATCTCTTCTGGGAGCGAAGTAGCTGTCAAGTTATGGCTAATGTTGAGGGAAGTAAGAGCCCTAAGATTATATATGGACCTCAAACCTATTGCATCTGACATGTTCCGATTAACTACCAATTTCTTGACAGAAGAAAGGGTCGGAATAACAAGCACAGGACACCAGCTAATTGTCATCTCTTCAAGCACGGGGAATTGCTCTTCTCCTGCCTCTTTCAGCAATCCTTTCAGATTATCGAAATTGACTATAATAAGTTTTCTCAGAGATGGAAACCTTCTTCTTGTAGGGAATCCAGAATCTTCAACATACTCCAGTTCCGCAGACCCATCTCCTAACTCTAGACTTTCAAGACAAGGCAGATCACCAAACGGTGGTAAGCATGAGCAGTTTTCACAACCTCTAATTGCAATAGAGACAACATTTTTCAAAACTGAGTGATTCATCCACTTTGGAAGACGGAATCCTCTGAAGCCAGTGATTGTTAAACCAGTCACATTGGAGTGTGGTTTGAGGGCTTCAAGCACTTCAACTTCTTCTGATTCATATCTATGCCGTCCTTTCCAAGTCATGCTTAAAGAATGCAGATTTTCTTTTGCAGATAAATTGGCTTCTTTTGCATCCCTATCATTCTTCACTCTCTCAAGATGCGTGATTTCAATTGACCCATACAAATTCAGGTTTCGTAATTCACCAAGTAGAGAATCTTTTCTCTCGCCAATAACAAAGAAACTTAGAGTCTTAAGGCATGTCAAAGATCCTATCCTTGGTGGCATAGAATCCAATCCATCGCAACCATCAAGTAAGAGATTTCGGAGACTACCAAGTTTACTTGTTTCTTTTGGCAAACAACAAAGTGACCAGCAATACTCTACATTAAGAGTCTGCAGATTTTGAAGCTTGCATAACTGCTTTGGAAGAGTACGCATGTTATTGAGAGAGGTTCAAGTATCTTAAATGTACTAGATCTCCAATGGAGGACGGTAACTGCTTAAGTCCCATGGAACTTAGATTAAGAACCCTCAATGAGACAAACTTTTGCAAGTGAGGAGGAGAGTAAGAAGACACCACTTTTGCGAAACCAATCGACATCATATGTAGGTAACCTTCTACATTTATTTCTCGGATATTGCTGCTTGATGTGCTTGCTGAAAATAGAGATGTTGCCAAATCATGAATGAGATCATGCATCTTGAAATAAGTTTGATCATATTTAACTTCAATCTCTTGGAAAAAAGACCTCAAGTATAATTCATTCCATACTTCATTACCTACATCCTCTAGCTCCAAGTTTCCTTTTGATAAAAGAAAACTATGTGCCATCCAGAGAGAGATTAGATTTTCCTTTTCCATTTTGGTATCCTTTGGGAATACTGCACAATATGAAAAGCATTGTCTCAAATCAAGTGGAAGGTGATGGTAACTAAGTCTCAGGGCAGGCAAAATAGAACTTTCATCTTGAGGTAAATTCCAAATCTAACTATCTCTCACATGTTCCCACTGTCTTTCTTCTCTCTTGAAGCGCAAAATACCTCCAAGAGTTTTAGCTGCTAGAGGCACACCACCACATTTTTTCACAATCACCTTTCCGATAGCCACTAGATTAAGATTCATTTCTTCTTGGTGCCCAAATGCACGTTGCATGAACAACAACCAACAATCTTCTTGAGACAAATTTGACAATTCATATGGTTGCAATGTCCCCATGATTGATCCAACCTTTTCAAGACGGGTAGTGGTTAGAACATAAGCACCACTTGCTCCAGCCTTCAAGACTTGTCTTAACTTAGCCCACTTATCTTGATCTTCATTCCAAACATCATCTAAGACAAGCAAATATTTTTTTCCATTCAGCAAGTCCTGAAGCTTCTTTTGAAGTGGAGCCAAGTCCATGTCACCAAGTGACTTTTCTTCAATAGATTCTACAATTTCCTTTATCAACCTCTTTTCATTAAAATCTTCCGAGACACAAATCCATATTTTGGGATGGAAATGTTCAATTACTCTCTGATCATTGAAGACCATTTGGGCAAGGGTCGTCTTTCCTAATCCCCCCATACCAAGTATTGGGAGGACTGAAAGTGTTTGGGCATTGTTTATCAGGATTTTCACTATCTCATCCTTATCTTTGTCTCTTCCATAAACTTGTGGTTCATTTAAAACAAAACCTGGTCCAAGATCGGTAAGAGTCAGCAAAAAAAAACAAAGAAGAATTTTGCAAAAGACAATGATCAGCTTGATCAGAAGCAGCAGACATATTTCAAATATAAAACAAATGCACTATTTTGAATTCACATTATTATCATTGTTAATTTATAAGATCTAAAACAACTCTGGCTTTATCCTGTCATTTAGACTTTGGGGCATATGAGTAAGCTATGGATTTATATATATGTTAAAGACTTCACCAAACAGATTTAGATAATAGATTTTGAACCACTTATCTACTTAGACAAAATCCCCAAAACACACATGAATTTGATGATATAAAGCTGTTATTTAGAAAAATATTTACCTGTTTGGCGTGTAGCAACTTGTCTCTCTATAGTCCTTTCATCCAAATGAAACTTAATTCGTTCCGCTGCAATTGCATCTAGTTTCTCCATAATCTTTTTCATCCTTTTCCCAATCTTGTGACGGAAAGTGATAACGTTTGGATGATAACACCCATATTTATTCTTCTTCTGTATAATTGGTGCCTCAGTTTTACATTCGTCCAAGATGTCATCAGCTTCATATGCAGCACCATTGAGTTTCTGCAACCAATTTTCAATTGCCTTGTCCTTCAATTGCTTCAACTGAGCATCTTGTACCACAGCTTGGATTGTAGTAAACGTGCTTTGAAGCTTTTCGAACTCATCCTTAAAACCAAGAATCAATCCAAGTTCCCCTTGGATGAAACAAGTCAGATTCTCTAACATAATTTGAAGGAAAGCTTCAGCCATAGAGTATATTTTTGAAATGAAGTAAGGTGTTGGAAATTAGAATGGACTTGTAACAATTACAAACTCAATTATTCAATGGAAATAACACACACTCCCACGGGACCATGTCTATCAAATTTACTACCATATGCAATTACTATTAAACAGTACTCCTTTCGTCTCATTTTATATGAATTAATTTGACTTCACACGAAAAATTTAGGAAAGAAATATTACTCCCCATGTCTCAATTTATGTGACACTTTTCGTTTTTCCAATGGACAAGTCAAATCATTTGTTCGTTATAAGAGTGCACAATTAAATATATTACCGTCTTATCAACAATCTATATATATACATATAATTTTTTTTAAAAAGAATATATCGGGTGCAGGTGGATTCACCTCTGACCATATGTGAAATTCAGTATTACATTTAATATTAGATATGTGAAGCTGTTATTTCTTTAGTCCATACACAAAATTGACAATCGGTAAAATCGATCTTATATTATTATTTATTTTATACTCATCTTTTTTGTTCTCTATTTTATTATTTTTATGCTCAATGTTGAACACTCTCCTAAAAAAAAGATATTGTCGCTTACATGTTAAAAAGAGGGGTTTTCGAAGCAGAGGGTGTGTGTGAAAGAAATCAACAAAATGTGTTGATGTTCCGTGATCAGTTGAATGAGTTAATGGTAGTTAGTTGTTAAGTCTAATTTCTTGATTAAGTGAGCTAAATTAATAATGAGTAGAGTTGGTTAGAATAAGTTGGTTAGAAAGTTTGCTAGACTTGTCAGTACTGTATATATTGTAGTACAAACACATTCATTCATAACAATGCAAATTGTTTTCTTCTTCCTTGCGTCACATTAATCAATTGTTAATGGATCATATTAGATAAATGACTCATAAGTGACGTTCGGCGTGTATTCGTTTTTATTTCATAACAATGACTCTATGAGGATATGATTCCGCGACCCATCTCTTCAATGTAAGGTCTCCAACAAACTCATCATCAACTGGTTTCTTTCTTGTGAAGGTTTCCATCAATAAAATGCCGTAGCTGTAAACATCCCCCATAGTTGACACTATCCCTACTCTGCCATTAAAATGAAATACATCATATATGCATATCGAATACAAGTTGAAGAAAGTAATTAGTAAATAAAAATTTGATCAGTACCTGGTGCCATGTAGCCAATGGTGCCTTAAGTCTTTGTCAATGCCACTGGATCATACGCGGTCAAGAGTTTGGATATACCAAAATCACTTACTCTGGCAACCATGTCTTCATCCAAAAGTATGTTCAAGTCGCAATGGACCACTACAAGTGAATGGCCTTGGTGTAGATACTCTACGGCACAAGCCACATCAAACATAATTTTCAGCCTCTTGTTTAAATCCAAGAAATTGTTGTGTGAGTAAAGCCAATAATCAACATCTCCATTAGGCATGTACTCAAACACCAATGCCTTAAAAATCAAGATTTGCACAACTACTTATCACCTTAACAAGATTCCTATTTCGAGTGTTACGCAAAACCTTACACTCCAAATCAAACCTCTTGAATGCATCTTGCAGTTGTGCATTGAAAACCTTTACAGCAGCTATAGTCCCATTTGTAAATGTCCCCTTATAAACCATACCAAGGCTTCCCTTTCCAATCAAATTTGATTCGTCAAAGTTGTTAGTCCCTCGAACAAGTTCATAGTAAGAAAACCTTTTGTGTGATAACTGATCATACCAATCAGTTAAAGGAATAAGTTGGTTGTTACGTCTCCGATAATTCAACAACCATATCATGCCTAAAACCCCTATGACTAAACCTCCAGCTGCAACTGGTCCAAGAACAAATTTTAGTACTGTTTTCTTCCTGTTTCTTCTTGTCACGTTGTTCTGGATTTCACACACCTTGACTTGGAATCTAGGCGGTCCACATAACTCTTCGTTGCCGATGAATGATTCAGCTGTGAAAATTACCAAAAGGCCCTCCATCTGGTATTTCACCTGATAACTCATTGTAAGAGACTTTCAGATAGTTGAGATGCTCAAGCTTTGTTAACTTTCCTGCAAATAGATGGTAGGTTCATTTCATTTGGTATATTTCCTGCAAATTCATTTTGAAAATAAGTATATGGTTATCATGCTAAAGATCAGACATAGAGTGTCTTTCGAAAATGTTCTTCACAACATATATTAATCTTTGTTTGTTACTAGACAATCCACAAATTGGCTATATCTAGTGAAATTAGGAACTTCGTTAAGAGTATTCAAGATTTAATACATACAGAATCACGTACCTGTAAAGTTATTCCATCCAATAAACAGTTCTTGAACCTTTGACATGTTCCATCCAATAAATTTCCTATCAATTATAAAATCACAGACACACACAAAAATGATGATTAATTCAAGAAGAAATTAGTAAATGAAAAGTTTACAAGTTAGTTAATTACCAGTGAATTTGTTATAAGACAAGGACAGAACTTCAAGTTTGGTGCATTTATTCAAACCTTTGAGGACTAATGATGTCACTCTTTGATGCTTTTTACTGCAAGATATGCCTATCCAATTGCAAATGTGAGTTCCTTTTGTCCAGTTTTTCGACAACATTTCATTGGGAAGTTATATGAGCTTTGAAAGCTAAAAGAGAAGCCTCATCAGTTGTAATGTTTGATGCATTAGTAACTGAGAGGCATGCTAACAAAACTAGGCATGCTATAATAATAGTCTTCGCAACCATTTTGATTTGTTCAACTTCTTTAGCTGCTATTTGTGCCTATGTTTTCGTTTTCAAACGCCATTCTATATATTCTGTGTGTATACTTGTAATTGAGTCAATACTTATCTAATTAATACCAATGATTTGAAACAACTTTTAATCGTATATTGCTAGCTGAACTTGACTGCAATTCATTGCTAAAGGGAAATAAACCATTGGTTGTGGAATTCTGTATTGACAGTTAAATAATTTACTTGACAATGTCATTATTCAAATGTATATCTATAACCTCCCCAGAATAGATCCTTGACAAAAGAATGTCAACTGTTTTACGGTCAAATTAACCAATCTATCTTGTAGTTATAAATTTCCAACAGAGCATCAACTTGCAGAGGAATAAATTTACAGATTCCTTCTTCTACGGCCGAACTAAGTTTTCTAAATTACCTCTTACATTGCATGTTCTTTAAATTTAGAATGATAGGAGAGGACAACGACAACAACAATATATTCAATGATATATTCGGTGAAATTTCACTAAATGAGATATGGAATTGATAGAGTATAAGCAGATCATTTTTGGAAAATCTTTTCTTTTCAAGTTGACATATTAAATACCTTCGGATAGAGCTGTCAATATTGGCTAACACATTTCATCCGGACTAATCCATACATGTTTTGATATTTTATGGGTTAAGCTGGGATAACTCATTTTTTGTATGGGTCAGAAAATGGGTCGGCCCAACCCATAAGTACGTGAGCTACAGGCTTGTCGGGCCAGCCCACTTTTTTAATTTTTTTTGTAATTATTAAATTAAATTATAAATTATTATTTAAAAAACATTATCGAAAATATCGACAAAATAATATTACATGATGTTAATGTTACTACCTGTTAATCAAATCCACAAATAAAATTATCTTTATAATATTTATTAAGTTTTTTTCAAGTAACAGTATAAATAGCTAAATGGAAATATTAACCTAATTGTTTTGAGTTTGGATTCTCTTTAATTTTAATTTTAATTTTAATATTATATTATATTTTTAATCAATTTTTATTGGCCCACGTACCGGCGCTACCGATATTTCTGAAACCTCACAAATAGCAGGCTTATTCAGGATGAATTAAAAAATTCTTTTCTTTAATTTACTCCAAAAATCTTAATTCAGCCCTATTAAATTCCGAGTTAGGCCACCTAGCACAATAATTTCATGGTATATTTCAGGGGTGGTTATATAAACACCTAACAATTTTAGGTATGAAAGTCACAAAACAGTGAGTTAGAATTTTTCTAAAACCTACGTGTATAACGACTTTGAACTCTTTGAAATTGAGTTTGTTAAACATAATATTCACATGACATGTCATATTACTCTAAGAGATATTTTAATATGAGTTTTATGATAGTTTAAGGCTTTTGTCAACACTCAAATAGTACATATATAAAATTCTTAAAATGATTGTAATAGTTTAGGGGTTTAACAAGATTGATTTTGTATCCCCAATTAGGAAAGCATACATGAATTGCATATGTTGACTTTCCCAATAAAGGCAGACTCCTTTTTTATAATTTGTAGATATATAATTTATTTGTTTCTTTTTCGAGCTATTGACCGCTTTAAAAATATTTTTCTATATGATTAGTCAAACTTAGATACACTTTTTATTTGTCATATGACATATCAAGTGGTCTCAAACTCTTGTACGAGTATGAGACTTTTAACTAAAAAAACGAAATAAGTGTTGAAAAGGAAAGAATTTAAGAATGTACTTCTTTTATATTGCAAGATCAAGAATATATTTAAATTCAATTAGTTAAGTAATAAATATTTTTAGAACTATCAGTTCAAAGATGAAAACTAATAATCAAATTTGCTACTATATATTCAAAGAATATTGACCATCTGCAGATTCTGCACTAGAAGTTAAAATAAGCCAAGTAATATAAAATTGGGAAACTCCAAAATTTCTAATTCATCAGACAGATACAGAAAATCTTTCTCAAGATTCTAATGGATAATATATATTATAACTTATATTCTTTGATTAAATGTTCTCTAAACACTAGACTGACACGTGTATAGTGATGCCATGCAATTTACTAATTCAAGTTTTTTATTACATGTCATCAAAATTAAGAAAGAGTCTTGAGATCTTGTCAACCTCACTTCCTTTTTACCATTTCCTCCCATTACAAAGTAAATGTGATTCGAGATTTGAAATTTATGGATGATTACTAGACAACATTATAAATAGTACTCTCACACAGACTGCAAGATAGTACTATACAATAATAATTAAGGTCATAACGAAATATGTGTAGACCTTTAATAAATTACTTAATACATATAATAGGTAGAGAAAAAAGTTATTGAATTTATGTAAATCCAATATTATACGTTCGATTCGCTAATTTGACCGTAACACTTCACATTCTTTTGTCAAACATCTATTCAGCGGAGGCTATATACATTCGAATGATGACATTTATATCATGATTTTAGTCTTAAATATTCTTGAATAATGAATATACAAGGCTTATAAATCCAAGTAAATTATTTTACTATCACTACAGAATCCCACAACCAATGATTTCCCTTCAGCAATGAATTGCAGTCAAGTTCAGCAACATTCAATTAAAAAAAAAATGTCTCAAACATATTACGTATATATGTTGATCATTGACATTGAACTCTAGATTCTATATATTCCAGTGCTAATACATGATTTTTTATTGTCTTTAATCATATATTATTATAAGCATGAAGCTCTCAACTTAAAAGTTGACTTACTATTTTGCCCTTATTTTATCTCTAAACTAAATAAATATTAATACATAATTAATTTGATATTAGATAATATTTTCTTATTTAAATTCATGCCTCTAGACACAATGGTTCAAATTCTTTTGGAAAATAGTTACAAGAAGAGGAAAGACCAAAAGTTGTATTTTCTTAATAAATGTGTATATCAATTCTTCTTTATCAAAATCAATTTAATTTTAGCTTGAAACTGTGTCAGTGATTATTTCTTTATCATCTTTTATTGTTAATAGAGAAAAGATATACAAGAAGTAGTATAGACACTAAAGGTAATTCCACTCATATTAAATCTTTGTGTTTTTTCTTTTTTATTATTTTATTTATTTAATCTTGATTTTGTTTATTGTATTTTAATATGTTTTCTTTAAGTTTTTGATCTTGTTTTCATCAAATTGTGCTAAGAATCTGTATACAATTTGTTAATTTTGTGTGATCTTTTTAGTGTTATTTGCTTTTGATTCTTCTTTCTTAATATTAGATTTTTGATGTGTACTTTAAATATCAACTTTTTTATTGGTTTTATGGTATTTGATATGCTTAGCCTCATTATGGTTTCAATCTAGACTAGAAGAGGTTTACACAGTTATTATTTTATTTTTGTGTGGTCTTGTTCATATGTTGTATCATTGATTGTTTCTTAATATTTATTTTTTGACTATTTTTAGTAATTTCAAAATGTATTCTCGAGGTATTGCTCAATTTTATACGTTATGTGATAGTTTTCTATTTTTTATCTTGGAATTTCAATTTTTGTTGGTTCTTTGACGAACTTTTTCATCCTTTAAGCAATGTAGTTATTACTGTCAACACATAGTATATGATCATAGAGACATTAACTTTCAGAAAGTCATCGTAGTAATGCCACTTTTATGGTAACAATTAAAATAATAAGGTTGAACCTCACTTTTATGGTACCAATTAAATTGAAAAGTCATGCATATATATAATACAAGTGTATGTAATACAAATGACCAGTGATCTAAATATATGGTTCTCATATCTATATTTGATAATAGGGTAATATTACTTGACGTTTCAATTAATTCACAAAATTTGGAGTATACATGTTACCCTTCATTGTTTCAAGTTTATGATTATTTTTCTAAAAAATCTACTTTATGTCTCATTTATATATTTTATACTTGTGTCATTTAAAAAAAACGAAATATTAATTAATAGGATACACGTGTGTTGCACGTGAGCAAAGACTAGTTATAGAAATATATATAAATGTCACTTGAAAAATAAAAAATCAGGCACTTATAAATTTCCCCCACAAATAGCTGCAAGAGAAGTTGCACAAAATGGTTTCCATGGCTATGATTATAGAATTGCTAGTTTTGTTAACGTACCTCTCGAATACTAATGCATCGAACATTTCAACTGATGAGGCTGCTCTTTTAGCTTTCAAAGCTCATATAACTTCAGATCCAAATGGAATGTTGTCGAAAAACTGGACAAAGGGGACTCACGTTTGCAATTGGATAGGCATATCTTGCAGTAAAAGGCATCAAAGAGTGACATCACTAGACCTCAATGGTCTCAGACTAAGAGGTTCAATCGCGATAGATATTGGGAACCTCTCCTTTCTTAGTTTCTTGGACATTGGCAACAACAGCATCAACGGTGAAATCCCTGATGAACTCGGCTATTTGAGGAGGCTGAAGCACTTGTCCTTGTCAATGAATAATCTCACAGGTCAAATTCCAGAAAGTCTTGGATTACTGAGAAGGCTCGAGTTGTTGGATCTTTCTGAAAATGATCTCTTTGGATCTGTTCCTTCGTCTATCTTCAATGTCTCTTCTTTGAAGGTCATCAATTTGATTTATAATGCACTATCTGGGACCTTGCCGAATGACATTTGCCATAATCTTCCGCGGCTGGAGGGATTACAAATAGCAAGAAATCAACTCTCTGGCCAACTACCAAGCAATTTAGACAAATGCAAAGAGCTAATATATTTGTCCTTGTCATATAACCACTTCACAGGTAAAAAAGAACGGAACCAACTTCTTTCTCTGCTACTTTTAGTTCATATTGACAACAAAGATTGCAACAATTTTTTAGTTAAACAACCATAGGCCGTGAGAGGTACATATAACTTATCGTAATATCCTATTACAGGAAACTTGCCTAGAGACATGTGGAACTTGACAAAACTTCAACATCTATTTATTGGATGGAATAACATAACAGGTATTTCTAATGTTCTGGTTTAACTGAATCCACCTAACTTTATAGCTGGACTTCTCACCTCGTAGCACTAGAGATCTTTGATATTTAAAAACTTACTCTTCAAACTCATTTATAAGAAATTAGTATTTGCATTTCAAAGGGTAGTAGCAAAAAAATGTTGGTATAGATCTTTGTTCTTCATTTTCAAACAACAACAGTAACTACTACATTGGTTCAATTCTAGTTTGTGTCTGCTATATGAATCCTAATTATCCATGTTGATCCATTTAGTTCCATCTTCAAAAGGACATCAAAACATATTGTGAGGATTGCTGAACTATTTAAAAGGCATACAACTAACAGTTTCTGTTATTTATAGTAACTTAGTGACTATAAAGCTGTTATACAGTATTGGACATTTCAGTGTAGTAATTACACAATTCGACATATATTTTACAGGACATATACCAAGTGGAATTGATAACCTATCAGCAATTCGAAGATTAAGTCTACGAAGGAACAATTTGGTGGGAAGTCTTCCACCATCAATTGGAAATTTGTCAAATCTAGAGATGATAGACCTAGGTGACAACAGTTTATATGGTGGCATTCCTCAGGAGTTTGAACATCTTGTAAATTTGAAAGAAGTGTATCTTGGTCCAAACAGATTATCGGGTGAAGTTCCAAGGCGTTTGTACAACATTTCTGGACTAAAAAAGATTTCATTTGTAGCAAATGAGCTTTCAGGAACACTTCCCTCAAACATAGGCCATACTCTTCCAAATCTTGAAGGCCTTTATCTTGGGGAAAACCAGTTCACCGGGCTGATTCCTACCTCCATTGTGAATTCCACCATGCTTATCCAGCTTGATTTTGGCCGCAATATGTTTAGTGGACCTGTACCTATGAATCTTGGAAAGCTACAACAGCTACAATTCATCAACTTGCAAATAAACCAATTGATGAATGATCAATCTACACGCGAGTTAAGTTTCCTGACTTCATTATCTAATTGCAAGTATATGAAAACCGTTCAAATAGGAGGTAACCAATTTAATGGAAGTCTTCCAACATCTTTAGGTTCAGGAAACTGGTCCTTTTCCCTTGAATATTTCATTGCCCTTCAAAATGGTATCACAGGAAAAATACCAACTAACATCAGTAACTTTAGGAACCTGGAGTGGTTAAGCTTGGGAGACAATAAGCTTATAGGATCTATTCCTCAAGATTTGGGGAACTTGAGGAATTTGAAAAGATTTAGCCTAGAGAAAAACAATTTAGATGGAATTATACCAACTAGCTTGTGTAACATGGAAAACTTGTACCAAATTATCTTGGGGAAAAATCAACTTACTGGTGAATTACCAAATTGTTTTGGAAATCTTTCATCTTTAAGAGAACTCTACTTAGATTCCAATGCACTAATTTCCCATATTCCATCAACTTTATGGAGGAACAAAGATATTTCAATTCTCACTTTGGCCTCCAATTTGCTGAATGGGTCTCTTGCAGTAGAAATGGGGAATTCAAGGAGTTTGCGGATATTACATTTACATGGTAATCAGTTCTCTGGTCAGATTCCTAGCACGATTGGCCAACTACAAAGCTTGGTTAGCCTTTCATTGTCAAAGAATATGTTAGATGGTTCCATACCTGAACAATTTGAAGATTTGGTTTCGTTGGAATATTTGGATCTATCTAGCAACAATCTATCAGGCATGATCCCCAAGTCCTTGAGGAATCTTGAACATCTCATGTATTTCAATGTCTCGTTCAATGGGCTCATGGGTGAAATTCCAGATGGAGGGCCATTCGTAAATTTTACAGCTGAATCATTCATGGGTAACCCTGCATTATGTGGATCATCACGCTTCCATGTGATGCAATGCAGAGTGACAAGTCTTGAAAGAAAAAGAAAGAACAGAATCCTAACTTCTGTTCTTGCATCAGTTTCCTCAGGAGTTGTAGTCACAACCATTTTCATCATTTGGTTTCTGAAATGCCGAAAAAGGAGTACGGAACTTCCTTTAGTTGATACATTTGGTCAGGTACATAAGAGGATTTCGTACTATGATATTTCTCAAGGGACAAACAACTTTGATGAAGCAAACTTGATTGGAAGGGGGAGCCTTGGTTTGGTGTATAAAGGGACACTAGCAGATGGAATGGTTGTGGCGATAAAGGTATTCAATACAGAACTGCAACATGCATTTAGAAGTTTCGAGGTGGAATGTCAAGTTTTACGTAGCATTCGACACAGAAACCTTGTTAAGGTGATAAGTAGTTGTGCCAATTTCGATTATAAAGTGTTGGTGCTAGAGTACATGCCTAATGAAAACCTCGAATGTTGGCTTCACTCTACTGACAAATTTTTGGATATAACTCAAAGACTAAAGGTGATGATTGATGTGGCTTCTGCTGTGGAGTATTTACATGGAGGACATTTGTTTGTAGTCGTCCATTGTGATTTGAAACCAAGTAACATACTTTTGGATGAAGATATGGTGGCAAAAGTGAGTGATTTTGGGATATCCAAACTTCTTACTTCTGAGACGCTAATAGCACATACCAAGACTTTAGGTACTATCGGCTACATGGCACCAGGTAAATGTTATTATCAAGTTCACTTGAGGATTTTAAATGTTGTTAATTATTTTCATTAATGATGGCGTGATTTATTTTTTGTAGAGTATGGGTCTGAAGGCAAAGTATCAACTTCGGGAGATGTTTATAGCTTTGGTATATTGTTAATGGAGACTTTTACAAGAAAGAGCCCCGTGGATGATCTATTCGTTGGAGACTTCACCTTGAAAAGATGGATATGCCAATCATTACCAGACCAATTGGTGGATGTAGTGGACATTAATCTATTTTCACTGAACGAAGAAAATTTTACTTCTAAAGAGAGATGCTTCAAATCAATCATGGAATTAGCTCTTGAATGTACAAATGATTTGGCTGAAGAGAGAATTCGCATGGAAGATATTACTCTGCGACTCAAGAAGATCCTAACTCAATTTCAGCAAAATGTTGTAACAAACTAAATGGTAGTGCTGAAATCTATAGTCGAGCTGTCACATCTTTTCTTCACGCGCACAAATAGTTGGGCTAGTACGTAAAACTTTAACAGATTTAAGGATAGGCCCCTCCCCTCTGTCCTTCTCAATTTAAATACTAGAACTTTTCTTATGTAGTACGGTTCGAACCACGATGTGCACTTACCTACCATACATAAATTTGAATGCTTAAAGAGATCTTGTTAACTGATTACCCAGAAAAAATGATCACTAGATTGGATCCTGAAACTATTTACCACACAAAACACAAGATAATTTGCAATTTCATTCACACTGTCATTTCTATGAAACATTAGCTGATGGAAGCAGTATTAAAACACAAAATACTTACTGTAATAATCCCACTCTCTCCCGCAGCATTTGGCTAAAAGACAGACGGGCCGAGCCACGACAATATGATCATCTTCCTCCTCAGTATGAAGGTGATCTGTTGTAAATTTCCACATAACACAAAACTAACTTGTTACTAGTCACTAGAGCCAAGATAATACTTTTGGTGATTGGAAGGATAAAATGACTTTGTAAACTGAAAACCCCTAAAATCTAAACCATAATTATACAGAGGATTGCTGTGATTTGAAAGCATCAAACCACAGAACCGTATTGGTCGAACTAGTTTCCCTCTACTCTCGAATTCCATGGACATTTCTCTAGAAATTCTCGCATTTTCCTACAAACAAACAGTCCCTATTCAACACAATTTTTCTTACAAGATGCTACTAATGTTACGAATTTGCCAGAGATTTATGCAGCAGAGCTTCAATAAGATGAAAGCAGCTGTCAATGTATCCCAAGAAACCGAGATATGAACACTCAAATTATATCTGCGTAATATGTGAATATGCTTTTTATACATCTATATTCTTCTAACTATAACTTTTTTTTTAGAATCTAATCTTTTTTATGTTTTTATATTGTGTTAAAATGATGGGTGGAGTTGGGATAAACAATAGGAGGAATCTGTTTGAGGGATTCATCGTGAAGCTTATAGAGACTAAATCTTATTTTTGATAGATCACTGTTGAATTGCATCAATATAAATTGTATTATAAATATAATTGTTTCACCCATTTTTCACCGAACCATATCATTGGAAAACACACAACAAATTTCTTTTGAAATACCGGAGCTTTCTAATTTTTTTCTTAGTTGCGCGGACTCTTCACTTTTGATACCCCACCCGTGTCGAATTTTCCAAAAATACCCTACTTTTGGCGAATTCAACATGCCTACATTGACATTTTCAAAAAGTCCGAACAACATAATTTTTTTTTCTATATAAGAATTTTTTCACCAATTCAATTAAAATAGCCTCGTATTGAATAAAGGTAGAGACTCCTTCAAAGTAAAACATAACCATGCAGATGTCTTTTGACTTTTTTTTATTTATATAAAAAAAATAATATTGACTATCTGTACTAGATTCTGCAATAGAAGTTACAAATATATCACTCTCAACAGAGAGATACAGCAAATCTTTCTAAAGATTCTCATATTCTCATAGATAATATATTTTAATAATAACTTGAATTATTTGATTAAATGTTTTCTAAAGAATAGAGCGCAAACAAAACTAACTTATATACTCACAAAAGTATCTTTGAATGATTCTGCCTCGTGTATACTGATGCCATGCAATTTACTAATTCAAGTTTCTAATCATCACATATTTTTTGTCAAATTTAGAAAAAGTCTTGAGTGAGGTCAAGTCAAACTGACTCTCTTTTTACCATTTCCTCCCGTTACAAATGTTCTTCATAATAATTCATGAGAAGAGCAAGAATTTCATTTAATCAAGACACAAATTCATGTTAGCGAATTCTTAATATATATATAAAAGGTATAGACAAAAGCTATTGAATTCACGTTGAAACATACATTACATGTTAGATTTGCGGATTTGATATTCTTTGGTAAAACATCTATTCGGCGGGAGGTTATATACATTTGAATGAAGACATTATTACTATATAGCATAAAACTACAACAGTTTAGTCAGTGATTTGGTTTTATTCTTTTCTTGAATCATGAATATAATAAATCCAAGTAAATTATATTTAATTACCACCACAGAATTCCACAACCAATAATTCCCTATAGCAATGAATTGCAGTCAAGTTCACCAACATACAAAAAATTAAAATAAAAGAGAGAATGTTTCAAACATATTACGTATATATTAGAAGTATAAACAGTATATATAGATGGCATTTGAAAAAGAAAAACTCAGGCACTTACTAATTTCCTACACAAGTAGGTGCTAAAGCAGTTGCACAAAATGGTTTCCAGGACCATGATTATAGCAATCCTAGTTTTGTTAATGTACCTCTCAGTTACGAATGCATCAAATATTTCAACTGATGAGGCTGCTCTTTTAGCTTTCAAAGCTCAAATAACTTCAGACCCTAACGGAACGTTGTCAAAAAACTGGACAAGAGGGACTCACATTTGCAAGTGGATAGGCATATCTTGCAGTAAAAAGCATAAAAGAGTGACATCATTAGACCTCAAAAGCTTTGGATTTAGAGGTTCAATAGCAAAAGAAATTGGGAACCTCTCCTTCCTTAACTTTTTTGACATTGGAAACAACAGTTTCCATGGACAAATCCCTGATGAAATCGGGAACCTGAGGCGTTTAAACTACTTGTCTTTGCAAATGAATAATCTCACTGATCAAATCCCAGAAAGCCTTGGATTTCTCACAAGGCTTCAAGTTCTTGATCTTTCTGAAAATGATTTATTTGGAAATGTTCCGTTTTCCATTTCCAATGTGTCTTCCTTAAAGATCATTGATTTGGGATTTAATCGGATTAGCGGAAATCTCCCAAGGGGATTTTGTGCTAGGCTTCCAAATCTGCAAGGTTTATTTCTCTCAAAAAATCAATTAGCAGGACAAATCCCAAGTGAGCTGAATCAATGCACACAACTTATTTACCTTTCCCTGTCATATAATCAGCTCACAGGTAATTCATAATGCTAATTCAATTCTTGGACTATATATACTTGATTCAGAATCATTTAATCCTTCTACAATGTTATGAGGTTATCTGATTGTATTCGTATATGTATTAACAGGAAGTTTGCCAAGAGACATGTGGAATTTGACAAAGCTTCAAGAATTATATCTTGGATGGAATAACATAACAGGTATCTTGGTTCTAAGTCTAATAATTTCTAGTTGATTAGAAGTTGTAGTAGTAGCAAAAATTGTTCATATAGCTCTTTGATATTCATTTTCAAACAACAATGACTACTACTACATCAGCTCAATGCTAGTTTGTGTCTACTATGTGAATCCTCATTATCCGCGTTAATCCATTTAGTCCCATCTCTGTCTAAGGTTCAATAATTTAAGTTTTCTAACATTAAAATTTCTCTATATTTTCTGTTACCGTACAAATTACTAACAATTAAAATCATCCCAACGAACATTGAGTAAGTTGGAGATACCAACATGATTAAGCTTTAATATCAACTAGTTGGTATCACCTTTACGAATCTTACTATTCCATTTTGCTCTACTTTTCGCTGAGTCAAAATGGATTCTAACAGATAGTTGGTCTTTCTTTCAACTTTCTCCCATGTGATTTTAGATCTACCATGTTCCTTTTTTGCACAAATCCAATCACCATATAGTTTCATACCTCATACCTGCAGACTAGAGATCTATGTAAGACTGAACTATCTCAGAGCTACTTAACCAATTGCTAACTATGGTAGTTTCTAATGTCTCATCTCAAGTGACTCACACATCCATCTTAGTATAGATAATTGACTGACGACCAAATATAGTTCAAGTTTCCTTTCTTCAGTTACCATATAAGGAGGAAAAGAGAATAGCAAAAGTAAATGAATAGTTCTCATGTTGCTAATATGAAATTTAAATGCCCTAATTAACAAAAAACCTTTCTTAGGCTTGTTATTGTTCGTCTTCAGCAGGACGTTGAAACAGAATACATTGATTGCCAAACTATCCGTGATTCTAATTCTATTACACAATATTGTACGTTCAGTGTTGTAACTACACAATTTAATATATATTTTACAGGACATATCCCAAGTGAAATTGATAACCTATCAGCAATTCGAAGATTAAGTCTACCACGGAACAATTTGGTAGGAATTCTTCCACCATCTATGGGAAATTTGTCAAATCTAGAGGTGATAGACCTAGGTGAAAACAGTCTACATGGTGGCATTCCACAAGAATTCAAAGATCTTGCAAATTTGAAAGAATTGTTTCTTGGTCAAAACAGATTATCGGGTGAAATTCCAGGGCCTATGTATAACATTTCTGGACTAGAAAGGATTTCATTTGTAGGAAATGGGCTCTCGGGAACACTTCGCTCAAACATAGGCCATACCCTTCCAAATCTTGTCGGCCTCTATTTTGGGAACAACCAATTTACCGGGCTGATTCCTACTTCCATTGTGAATTCCACCAAGCTTATCCAGCTTGATTTTGGTCGCAATCTGTTCAGTGGACCTGTACCTATGAATCTTGAAAAGCTACAACAGCTTCAATTCATCAGCTTGCAATTTAATCAATTGACGAATGATCCATCTACAGGCGAGTTAAGTTTTCTTACATCATTATCTAATTGCAAGTATCTGAAGACAGTTCAAATAGGAAGTAACCAATTTAATGGAAGTCTTCCAAAGTCCTTAGGATCAGGCAACTGGTCCTTTTCCCTTGAATATTTCATTGCCACTAATAGTGGTATCAGAGGAAAAATACCACCTAACATCAGTAACTTCAGGAACCTGGAGTGGTTAAGCTTGGGAGACAATAAGCTTATAGGATCTATTCCTCAAGATTTGGGGAACTTGAGGAATTTGAAAAGATTTAGCCTAGAGAAAAACAATTTAGATGGAATTATACCAACTAGCTTGTGTAGCATGGAAAACTTGTACCAAGTTATCTTGGGCAAAAATCAACTTTCTGGAGAATTACCAAGTTGCTTTGGAAATATTTCTTCTTTAAGAGAACTCTACTTAGATTCCAATGCACTAGTTTCCCATATTCCATCAACTTTTTGGAGAAACAAAGATCTTTCAGTTCTCGATTTGTCCTTTAATTTGCTGAATGGATCTCTTGCGGTAGAAATGGGAAACACAAGGAGTTTGCGGATGTTAAATTTATCTGGCAATCAGTTCTCTGGTCAGATACCTAGTACAATCGGCCAACTACAAAACTTGGTTAGCCTTTCGTTGTCAAAGAATATGTTGGATGGCCCTATACCTGAATTATTTGAAGATTTAATTTCACTGGAATATTTGGATCTATCTAGCAACAATTTATCAGGCATGATCCCCAAGTCCTTGAGGAATCTTGAACATCTCATGTATTTCAATGTCTCGTTCAATGGGCTCATGGGTGAAATTCCAGATGGAGGGCCATTCGTAAATTTTACAGCTGAATCATTCATGGGTAACCCTGCATTATGTGGATCATCACGCTTCCGTGTGATGCAATGCAGAGTCACTAGTCTTGAAAGAAAAGGAAAGAGTAGAGTCTTAACTTCTGTTCTTGCATCAGTTTCCTCAGGAGTTGTAGTCACGACCATTTTCATCATTTGGTTTCTGAAATGCCGAAAAAGGAGTACGGAACTTCCTCTAGTTGATACATTTGGTCAGGTACATAAGAGGATTTCGTACTATGATATTTCTCAAGGGACAAACAACTTTGATGAAGCAAACTTGATTGGAAGGGGGAGCCTTGGTTTGGTGTACAAAGGGACACTTGCAGATGGAATGGTTGTGGCAACAAAGGTATTCAATACAGAACTGCAACATGCATTTAGGAGTTTTGAAGTGGAGTGTCAAGTTTTACGTAGCATTCGACACAGAAACCTTGTTAAGGTGATAAGTAGTTGTGCCAATTTCGATTATAAAGTGTTGGTGCTAGAGTACATGCCCAATGAAAACCTCGAATGTTGGCTTCACTCTACTGACAAATTTTTGGATATAACTCAAAGACTAAAGGTGATGATTGATGTGGCTTCTGCTGTGGAGTATTTACATGGAGGTCATTTGTTTGTAGTCGTCCATTGTGATTTGAAACCAAGTAACGTACTTTTGGATGGAGATATGGTGGCAAAAGTGAGTGACTTTGGGATATCCAAACTTCTAGCATCTGAGACACTAATAGCACATACCAAGACCTTGGGTACTATCGGCTACATGGCACCAGGTAAATGTTATTACCAAGTTCATTTGAAAATTTCAAATGATGTTAATTATTTTCATTAATGATTTGTGGTTCGTTTTTTTTCTTTTTTGCAGAGTATGGGTCAGAAGGCAAAGTATCAACCAAGGGAGATGTTTATAGCTTTGGTATTTTGTTAATGGAGACTTTTACAAGAAAGAGCCCCGTGGATGATCTATTCGTTGGAGACTTCACCTTGAAAAGATGGATCTGCCAATCATTTCCAGACCGATTGGTGGATGTAGTGGACATTAATCTATTTTCACTGGACAAAGAAAATTTTACTTCCAAAGAGAGGTGCTTCAAATCAATCATGGAATTAGCTCTTGAATGCACAAATGATTTGCCGGAAGAGAGAATCTGCATGGAAGATATTACTCTGCGACTCAAGAAGATCCTAAATCAATTTCTGCAGAATGCTGTGACAAACTAAATGGATCTATTGTGGATCTGTCACATTGTGTTCACGGGCACAAAAAGTTGGATTAGTACATAGAACTAAGAGATTGAAAATATTCCGTTTCAATTATTTTGGAAAGCTCGTCTGGTGTATGTTCTTCTTTATACGTAATAATTCTTTATGTAGGTATATCATTTTTCTTCTTGTTTTTTTTTTCCTTTTTTTGAAGCATCAATCAATAAAATGTTATCATCGAAGATTTATCATAGTCTCACTGCTTTTTTTTCTGAACTTGGTAAATATATGCTTAGTCTGATATTTATACCAAAAAAGTGAACTTAGAACTTAAATAAGTAAATTACAATATGACATGATGATTATGAAATGAAAATAAACTACACATTGAATTTGAATAAGCAGATCACTAAATCACATGATATTTTTTAGAGTCATTGCATTTCTGACACCTCTTTCCCGGCCTCACCCTATTCGTTATGGGAAATCAATGCTCCGAGCCAAATAGACTTTCCTAATTCCTAATAATAACCTTGAATCATCAATAAATGAGAATCAAGTTAGTGCTTGATAATAAACCATGAAGATTTTGCGACCTATAGCAGAATTCAATACCTCGATCGCCTCCACCAGTCTTAATATACCTTCCAAAGCTTAGTCAATAATGCTAAGTGCTTCATTCTGTTTTCAGGTTATCCTTAGAAAGGTCATCTAACACTGACTAATGGTGCTGGTGAAACAATATGGCTACAACATTTTCAAGCCCTTTGGGCATGTAAAGCACAAAAGTAACAAACATGAACTTTTGCCACTATTCTCACCAATGCATTGCAATAACTCCTTTGATCAGCTAAATATAGCAGACTTTATACTTGGACATCAGTATATTGTATACATAGCTAATTTACAACATAATATATTTTGTATATCTATCTCACAACACAATGTATATTATGTGTATATGTATATTATAACATAATATGTTATGTGAATCGAAATTTTTTATTAATGGATGAGAGATAGATAATTAGATATGATCTGACAGATATAAGTTGTATGAGATTCCACTTAGAATTTGCCAAGTGAATTACTGGGTCTCATTTTCAGAAAAATAGGCCAAATTCATTTCTCTCTCTTCCTTTTAATTTTTACTCATTGAAATATTTAATTTTTCAACATCTCTTTTTTTTAAAAATAAAATAAAATAATTTTATTTATAAAAAATGTGAAATTAGTCTAATTCATTGTACTTTGAACATTTGATATATTTTTCTTTCATGTATTAATTATTTATATTTTTAAAAATAATTATTAAAAATTATATGTCAATTGACAAGTTAAATTTTATTTTTATTTTTATTTTTATTTTTATTACACTAATAATTAATTGTTCTAAAAATATAAACAAAATTTGTAAAATTGCAACAACAATTCTAAAGGAGTAAATTAATAAAGTATTCTTTTTATTTATAATTTCATAAAGAGTCCGTAAAGAAAAAATAAATAACTAATATGAATAACGAAAGGAGTATAAATCATGAAATATTCACAAGAAAATATAGTGGAAAGAGCATAAGTATTTTTGACACGTAATTAGAAAAGTTTTTGTACTATCTTAATTATATGATATTGTTTATTCTTGAAATGAAGCAATGTAAAATTTAATTGATATTTTAAAGTATATTTTTATTTTGTGATATTAACATAAGAACTACAACCTATAATGTTTGTTCATAAATAATCCCTCCAACATAAGTTGCAATTCAACCAAAAATACTATAAGTTGCAATTTTTATCATGTTAGCATATGAAAATATATATATATATATATATATATATATATATATATATATATCTTATAGCTTGAAATTTGAGAAAAAAAACAGTCGACTAAAATGATGGAGAGAGTAAAATGAAAAAAAAAGAATTGATTAATACTTCCTCCACCCGGAATTGTTTGTCATGGTTTCTATTTTTAGAGTCAAACTATAAAAACTTTGACTAACATTTTAAGATGTAACTTTTCATCATATTAATATGCAAAAAATTGCAATTTATAGTACTTTTCATATAGTTTTAGAATATCTAATTTTTTTGTTTAAAATATCGAATTAATGTGATATAATTTAACTTAAAAAATTAGTCAAATTGACTTTAGAAAAGCGCAACATGACAAATAATTTCGGACTGAGGGAGTATAATTTAAATAACTATTTATGTTTATGCTAAAATTAAAACAATTAACTTTATATGAGGTTAAGTGTACATTTCTTAGTTTAACTTTTTTAAGGACGCAAGTATTTGACTTCAAATTTAAATTAGTATCAATATATTTATCTTGATTTGATTTTTGATTAATGAGTATTATGAGCTACAAAAAAGACAAGGAAAATAAATATTAATTTAAGAAATAATGAAATGCTAACTTTAATATAGTACTATTTTTTTCTTTAATATTGTTGTTGTATTATTTTAAATTTATGTAATAAAATATATCAAATTAAAGAGAGAGGTAAATAAAAGGCGGGATGGAGGAGTGAGAAAAGAAAAGGAGAGGTTGAAAAGACACGAGACCTATAAATATATTTTTTTCTATTAAAAATATTCTTCATACAACTATTACATGGCATACCTTATACACCATAAAAGTTTTCACTGTGTATCGAACCTCATCGACAAGATGATTTCATATAGATGATCAAATGAGTTATTGAGATTTCCTTACTTAATTCAATCTAAGAACTAAAGTTTATCATTTGATGTCAAACGCAGTAGAACTGCGAAATGCGGTGCACTGTGATCAGACAAGGCTATATTGTACACAGTCTTATCCACGGTACAATATTTTCAGAGTTATGATCTCAAATACACAGTCTAAAACTATGCATTCTGCAATATATGCTAAGCTGCTAACTGTTAAGTCAAGTTCATAGAAATAGTAGCAAATACAAGTTTCAGATTTGTTTAAACAGGTACAAATATTTATCAAGATAGATATTTGGAATTGCATTGAGGGCTGGTGTTTGGTATAATTGGCAGCTAATTCTACAATTTCTTATTTTCAGTTAAAGTCTTGCCAATTGCTGAATTATAATTCATTTTTGTCTACAAGTTGTTGTTTAAGATGTCAAACTACAAGTCTACAAAGACATTGACACATCCTCTACATACCAACTCCAGTTTGAGTAGCTACGACTTTCATCACCGATACAGGTCTTAATAAGATTAATGCATTAGTTTGTCCATTATTATTGGCCTAACAGCAGACTTTATGTAGATTTCAGAATTTCTAGTAAGCTTAATTATGAGATTATAACATACAACAACTACACTTCAATAATTTCACAAATAATCAGATTATGTCATCAGGGCTTTAGGTTAAGACTTTATCAATTTGCTCTATCACTACCAATCTTTAATGGCCTCAATCTAATTCCCTCCTGAGTAGAACTTAAGTTTTGAGTTGAAGTACAAATGGCCTACATGTTATAGAGTTTGACTTTATATATATACCATAAATACACTAAGCTAAACTTGGATCTAACAAGTTGCCTCTATAAGGATGGTGATAGAACGATAAGCTGTTCAATAACCTTCATCCTGCTATGTTATGTCCTTTACGAGTGGCATTTGTGAACCATTTTGTTAAGTTCAATATTGTTTTTCTGTTTTATCATTTGATGCATGACATTCAACCTTTTAGAATCATATATATTCCTATTTAAGCATCTGTGTTTTCTGATTTTATGTAATAAATGTAACAAACTTGTAAGGACAAGTTTGTTCCTTATACTATAACACAATTATTTTATATGGAAAAAGTATACTCTCTTATTTAATTGGATTATGAATCTTATCCTATTTTACATCATTCACAAATTTCACGTACATTACGGCTCTTAAAGATAAAAGAAAAAACACATGTCTGTGTAAGTAAAAAAATACACGGGCTTAAAAATGAGTCCACTAATGAGATGGAAGTACATTTGTGTGTGTGAATTAAGAGTATGTATGAATTTTCGTGGTGGAATTTGGGGCGTTATAGTAGTTGGGACGTAGTTGTGGCTTGGGAAAAGGACATAAAATTAGTTTCAGAATAAAGAAAAAGAAAAAAAAGACGAGCTTAAAAGAGAGTAGTACAGTAATGAGGTATATTTGGATATGGAAAGTATATACGAGTGTGTGAATTAAGAGTATGTATGTGTTTTCATGATAGAATTTGAGGTGTTACAGTAGTTGTATGTGGGGGTTGTAGGAAAAGGACAGAAAAAATATTTTTGTAATAAGACTGGTTTAAAAGAGAGTACACTACTGAGGTGTAGCTGGTTGTGGAAGGACATACGAGCGTGTGAATGAAGAGTATGTATGTCTTTTCGTGTTAAAATTTGGGGTGTTATAGTGGTTGGGATGCGATGGGACCTTGGGAGAACGCTCAAATATGCCACTGCATTAAATGAAATGGATCGCATATGTCACTCATAAAAGGGAGTGACTATGTGAGAGGGGTGGTGGTGGTAAGTAATGAAGGGTTTAGATAATGCTACATAGCAAAATCTTATAGTAGCAGGTAATGGAATATATGGCCAAAATGGTAACGCCGGTGGCATGTTTATGTCCAACTATAACGAGTGGCATATATAAGGCCATTTTGTTAAGTTCGATGACATATTTGAGTTTTTCCCCTTCTAACATTCAAAGTCAAGATGTTTTTAATTGAATTACACAAAAGGCGGTTGTATCCAAGGGACGATCATTATATAAAGTTGGATACCTGAAAGGAGGAAATGCATATTAAGAGCCTCTTTTCTGCTTTCGCATTTTAATGTCCTTCATACCCCTATCAAATACTTTGGTTCTTAACATAATAATGATGGCAAGGGTCGTGATGACGGGCCTCCTTTTACTAATCTACTGCATCAATATATCTTCTTCAAGGACAAACTTTACTGATGAATCCGCTCTGTTAGCCTTCATAAAACAAATAACCAATGACCTCGATGAAACTCTGTCAAAAAACTGGACACAAGGGACTGAAGTTTGCAGTTGGATTGGTGTTTCTTGTAGCCCACGGCATCATAGAGTTGTCTCACTAAACCTCAAGAGTCTAAGATTGAGAGGCTCCATTCCGAAAGAAATAGGGAACCTTTCCTTCCTTAGTTTCTTGGATTTTGGCAATAACACTTTTAATGGTGTAATTCCAAATGAACTTGGACGTCTAACGAGACTCAAGTACTTGTCCTTGCAAATGAATAATCTCACCGGTGAAATCCCACAAAGCCTTGGATTGCTCTCGAGGCTTCAAGTGCTGGATCTTTCTGATAATGACCTATATGGATATGTTCCATCGTCTATCTTCAATATCTCTTCTTTAAAGATCGTTGATTTAAATTTGAATGATCTTAGTGGGAATTTGCCAAATGACATGTGCAGTAATCTCCCAATGCTGCAATATTTATTCATGGATAAAAATAGCTTAGTGGGTGAACTTCCGAGTCATTTAGATAAATGCACCCAACTTTTAGCTCTGTCCTTGTCTTATAACAGATTCACAGGTAATTTAACTAAGTTGTACTTCTCATTTCCTTTTTTTTCCTTCTTCTTGAATCGATAATTGTATTTTTTTCCTGATATTGTATCTTAATTAATAGGAAATTTACCCCGAGACATGTGGAACATGTCAAAGCTTCAAGATATGTATCTTGGATGGAATAAATTGACAGGTAACTCTCTCTATATGGAGCGTTTAACTAATACAGAATGTTTTAAAAAGACCATAAGAGCAACCATCAACTAGCAACCCCTTATTGAAACAAATCATTTTCAACATAGGCCATATATGTCTGCG